GGCAAGCGTTTGCTCCCGCTGCAAACGCTTGCGGGGAGGGATTGCATTGAGCAATCCCTCCCCGTCGAGGCAAGCACTGTAATTCTCTCCGGTTAGTCCACCAGCAGATGACAAACACCCACCTCTCCGCCTCTTCCAAGGAACGAGGGGACCGTGCGGCAGAGTTTCAGTTTCAGTTACTTTCGCCGGTCAAGATGTCCGTTAAAGTTTAAATGTTCCAGAAAAAATTAGAAAAGTGCCGGTCAAAGGTCTTCTTTGTTATTTATTGAGCTTTAAAACAAATGAATAACGACTCTATATAATAAAACACGGAGGACGGAGATCTCTTTTTCTCCCCCTCTTCTGACAGCCCAGCAGCTAATCAGAGCATGGCTCACCTCTCCTGCAGGGGGGCGTGGTCAGCAGAATCAGACCCGTAGACAGCAAACAGCACTTAGAGCGAAATGAGGCATGGCTAAAATGCATGATCTGTTTGGTATTTTGAAAACAGAAACGTATAAATATACCTTATATAGGTATGGCCCTACAATATATCATTTAAATATAGCATGATAGGTCCACTTTAAGTGCTTTGACAAAATTCCATGAAGAAATGTCATCTGTGGAAGCCGTAATACTGTAAAAAGTACGACCAATCATTTTAGCCGGCCCGGCTAAAATAACTGGATGGCCTACCTGCCTGTCAGCCTTCCATCTGTGCACAAACGTATCTCGTGCCCTCATTGGTCATGTGCGCGTTCGTGTGTGTTGGAGGAGGGGCTCTATAAAGAAGTGGCAGATTTTCTCCGGTTGTGTATTTTCAAATTCTAGCGATCTCGAGCCGGTTTCTCAAACTTACCTACCCTACCTTTAAGATATGTAACTGAGATATATTCGTATGTTTGAACATGATGCCTGTTTTTCAGGATTCCTGAATGACAGCTGCTGACGTGATCTGAACATGTAAGCTGTGTGATAAATGCATCAGTGATGTGTGTGGACAGCTTTGACTTAGGATCCTCCAAATGCAGTCAGTCATTGTGGAGTTTAAATTCTTCATATTACATTGATAGTAAATATTATGCAACATTCTGCCAAAAGATCACTTTTTTTCCTTCATATTTTAGGTCTTGAACCATGTTGAGCCAGCTGGTTTCTACCCATGCATTATCTTAGTATTCACACATGTGTATATGCCTATCATTTATGACTGTCACTATGGATAAATGAATGTGCACTAAAGCTCTCCTATAATATATCTAGGCTGTAAGCAGAGATGTAATTCAAATGTTATTCACTCACAGCATCCAACCCTGCTGTAGCTTAGGAGATCTACTTTAGCTCTCAAGCACTGGAACTGCATCAACGCAAACATTATTTATGATAGTGCTCAACCCTAGCTCTTACATGCGTCACACATGTATGACACAAAGCACAACAAGGTATTTAAAGTGAACATACTTACAAAGAAACAATAACACACATAAATAAATGATTTGACCTCTTAAAATAACATCCATCCTTATTTTATTTTCACATTGAAAAATGTTAAGGTTATCATCTTATTTCACAGTCCTGCCTGCCTGTATGATATCATATAATGTTCTATATCTTCCAACATTTCTTCAAAGCTACAATCCATGATAATTACCCTGAATAAAATATTTAAACCTTAGACTCTGTGGCATGATCATTTGGCCATATTCCTTCATTAAATGCAAATCTCCCAGGTGTTTTGAGTATTCGTTGGACATGCACTTTCCTTCAGATTCAGCAAGACATATTTGTTATTTGTCTTTTTCATTGGAGTGGAAAATAGAGTTCTGTGAGTTGGACCGTATCTTGGAAGAACAACATCATTTTGATTGACAGTGAGCAGGTGAGCCGGAGAGGTAAAAATAAATCCCCACTCAACAGGTTGTTCACAGCTTTTAAAGACATACCTTCGACAGAGACGTTTCTGTCACAACGTGGAAAAAAAGATGAATGTATTTCATTTTATCTTGACAGTCCTTTGGTCCAGGAAGCTTACTAACGGACTTCAGCCTTATAGTTTCCACACAAACAAGGTTTATCCTTTACAAAATGTTTTATTGCGTTCATCAAAGATGCATATCGTCTATACTGACACAGAGTTTGTTGGGATTCTGTTCATGAAGCGTTTTCATGCTTGGCACATATTTAGCTTCTGACTGACAGAGGCTCAGCTGTTGTGCATCTGAGCCTCTGTCAATGCATTTATCTTCACTTTAATGTCCAGGAGCTATACTGCTGCTCTTTTTATTTATTTATTAGCTCAGAGCCTGCAAGGTATTCTTAAAATTCAACTCATCTTTTAGCCTTTAGGTTTGACTCTCCCTTAAGATTTCCATCACAGTGAAGACTGCTCGCAGTTTAAATCATATCATGTCTCTTTAGGAAAGAAGAAAACAATACAAAACTCAAAAAATCTAATGTTTGTACCCTGCCTTTAAACAGTTGTTAAACGTTTATACTTAAAACATGTTATCTTTTTGCTGTTTTGTCAAGGTCTTAACACACCTTTAAAAGTGTCAAGAGATTCTTTCCTATTATATTTTCAAAGAGACTATGCTAGAGTCGTGGTGCAGCTGCTGAGAAGGCTCCATATCAAAATTAGATTATGGGATGTTGATCTGTAGATCTGTGGCACCTCACCATATGTAGATTGAAGTTCTGATATATAGCTTGAGGGTATACTAGGACTTTAAACACTAACAGAATAATCTAGTAAGGGATATGATATTGATCAACGAGCTGCCGAATCAAATCTTCGTGATATTGGAGCAGAATTACTTTTTAAAAATCTTTAGGTGATATGAATGTCCAGATCTTAAACCCCTTTTCCCTGGACAAAAAACTCACTAACACCGACCAACATCTGGCTTTTGGGAAAAGTCTCAATCGACAAATGACACCTGGGGAGATTAAGAGTTTGAAAGAAAGCTTTAATAATACAAGTGTTACAAATAATTACCCACAGTAACCGTATTAGTACATTGCTTTCCGGCACATCAGTGACATATGGCATATTTTTAGCAGGTTTGCTTGTGTTTCAAAACTCTGCATATACACTTATTTTCATGGAAAAAAGGGATAGGATATAATTCTGAGCTTGTGTTAACCAGTCAATCACCTTTCTGAATTATTTTATTTTACGTTTGTTTTTTTCATCTGATGTGATTGCATAACTTTGTGGTCGAAGATACAATCTAGTTTTCCATTTTGAATTTTTGCCTGAATATAGAATCGCACCAACTCATGTGATGACATTTTTTTCATGGGAGAACTGTTAAAATCTTTGTCCAATTTTTTTATGAGAACACAAGGCATGCAAGAGTGAAACTAAAAGGGAAACCCAGTCGTGTGTTTTTCCTCTGCCGTTGTTTCATTTGTCTGCAGAATTGCAATTACTGTTCTTACACAAGATGCATTAGCACACATTAGACATTTTTTCAGCTAATGACACACCGCTCGTTCAAGATGTCAAGGACTCTGTGAATAACGTCAGTAATCCAGCATTTCGAGCTACTGAGACTCAGATTTTTATAAAAGCACTTTTTTTTCACCTCATTATGATTAATCTGTGGACAACATAATTACAGCATTACAGAGTTATAATGAAATGGACAGCATTTACTATATATTGCATTTACCCATGCGCACAAATCGATGGTGGTTGTGAAAAGGCTAGGCGGTGACCTGGCTATCATTACCAAAGTGGGTGTGTGTTTTGCTCAATAACCCTTTTAAGGGCTAGGGCTCAAACCAACAACCCTGTAATTAGATGACCTGTTTGGTCAATGTCAATGTGTCAAGCTGTACTTTATTTAAGTCTGAGAGAGGGAAAACTATGTTTTTCATGTTTTCTTCTCTCCAAAAGTACACAATGAGCTCAGACTGTTACCCCATGGCTGGTCCTGAATCAGTTGAGAGCGTACGACTGTTGCCTTGGGAAGTTAATGCCTGGGATACCTGATGAGTGGGGTCTATCACCAGATGTTTGTTTCAGACACCTTAGTAGTTGCTCTCCAATTCCAGGGATTCTGCCAGTGTATTGCAAGCCCAGAGCTAAATGTACTTCCTGTCAGCATACAAGATTGAAAAAAAATTAAATGCACATTTATGATGTCTTTTAAAATAAAGAGTGTTACTCAAGATTCTCACTTTTTAAAGGGATTTGTGTAGGTTTTGATTGGTGTGTGTGTGTGAGCGTGATTGCAAGTATGCATTTAACAGTAACATTACAGCTGTGTACAGTTTATTGGTCGGTTAACAAATACTACCATTCGGTTTTGATTCCCACCTGCAGATTTTAGTAAAAGGGGTAGCCCTGAAATGTCTCACTTTAGGTTACATTTAATGTGGACCGACTAGTACCATAGTAACAAGACACTTTTTAACTCACCACTCTGCAATTAGCTTTAGCGCACTGTCTGAGTCCGTAACGTGCTAAAATGTGGCAAGAATATTAAGTAACACCCGTAATTGTACTGATTACAGATCTATTGTTGAATGTGACAAAGAAACAACTCAATGCGTTAGTCCCAGACAGGACTGGAGTGAGGCAGCAATCACAATTAGCTATACATTATTTAAAAAGAATCGCAAAATTATCGGCAAAAGTAAGTAAGTGTTGTTATGGGCCAAATTACGATGATTGTGCAGCTCTTTTTTAAACATATTAGGTCACTTCACATTTACTGAATCAGCCAAGATGCACTTTCAAAAGAAAAAATGACGAGAAGAAAAAAAAATGTTTTGTGGTTGGTGATTTATTAGGACTCAGAAGCAGTTGATATGTATTTTATGAATTGATTGATTCATTTACTGATTGCGCTATATATACTTTTTTCAAGGGTAGTTTGCCAACCTTACAATTATGACATTTTATTAATTTTGGTCATTGCCGTAGCCTTCTCTCTCCTCATATCAATAATTCTGTCTTGTCTATCTGATTAAGATGTATCACTAAACAAAACTATTTTTGTGATTTCACGCAGATGTTTATTTTTCACCAAGTGACCATCACAGTCCCGGAGAATTTCACCCAGTGCACCACCCACGGCAGCTTTGTCCAGCACTGGCAGGAGACCCTCTACAACATTTTCAACTTTGTGTGCCTCTTCCTCCTGCCTCTGGTCATCATGATCTTCTGTTACACACGAATCCTCATCGAGATATCCAGCCGCATGGCCCAAAATAACTGTAAGTGACCCGTTTCCTTCAAAATCTTGAAAAGATAAAATATGTTTTCTGATACCCAAGGAGCCGTGCATGACAAATATGGTGTTTTCTCCTCTTCCAGCGTTGTCTAGAGATATGCATCTCCGCCGCTCCCACAACAACATCCCCAAGGCTCGGATGAGGACTCTTAAGATGAGCATCGTCATTGTGACTTCATTCATCGTCTGCTGGACCCCGTACTACATGTTAGGCCTGTGGTATTGGTTATTTCCTGATAAAATGGAGGAAATGGTTTCTCATTCAATGACTCATATGCTGTTTATCTTTGGTCTCTTCAACGCCTGTCTGGACCCAATCACGTATGGTCTCTTCACCATTCATCTTCACCAGGGTCTTAAAAGATGTTGTCCAACTTTCACCAAACGGACTGAATTGGAAAACCACACTTGCCTTGTACAAATGAATCGCCTGATGGTCTCTAGTAGTCACAATACAGACACTGAAGGAAACCACAGCATAAAAAGGCCAATCATCCCAGTAAGCAAGATCTAATGGCTTGACGAATTGCAATGAAAGGAATTAAAGGAATATTCCAGCACTGAGTTTAGTCTTTCTCCAGATACAGCCAGTTTTATGATGTTGCTTAGAAAATATGAAGCTCCTTTCGCAGACAAATCTGTTTGTTTCCGTTGCAATGATGTAATCGATGGAGTATTATTGCTTTGCCTTGGTTTGCTCCTGCATCACTGATCAGATTTGACAAAAAGCTGTGCAGTGGTGCATGATGCCTTTTCCCCCTGTGATTGGCTGAGGGTCACCCTGTACATCACACAGAATATCTCACACACTGCTGATCCGATATTCCTATGAAGCTTAAGGGCTTGTGGGAAAAAAAATCAGGCCCAAATGATGACAAATCTGCTTGAAGTTCCTATAAATGGATTTAAAATGTCTTTTACAGATATTTTCTAGCATCTTTCGGATAAAAGTCCTTAAAAGGACTTTGATACACAGTTTGAAAGGCAGTCACACTCGTGGACACACAAACATTTGGGCTTTACTAAGTGGATCTCAAAATATCCGGTACTTCTTTTTCTGTTACGAATAAACAGCAGAAACAAATATGTGTGCATTTGATTTAAGATGATCAAAAATATCATATGTTGTCTGTTGTGTGGCTTCTCTTTTATGTTTACATTTTATGTGTCAAATGTGTACATTGTTGTTTTATTGGGAGTGTTTGCCCTACAGTAATCTGCTGCTGTTCATTGCTTATTGGAAACTGCTCTAGAATGTAATTTGTAATGTTGTGTTTGCGATATAAAAGACTGTGATTTTCTGTCATTGCAAACCTTACTGTATGACATGAACATTATGGACCACAAAGGCATTTAAAATGTTTAGGCATACAATTCCATGCATTGAATGTACCTGCGCTGCATGTTGTTGAAGTGCTATTGACTGTGTAAATTGTCTAAGATCAATTCTGTATTTGCTGTGTTGCACAAATCACACTGGAGTCAAAACGTTATGAAATACGCGGAAATGACCCATAATGCCATTTGTTATACGTTATATTTCTATTTGTGTTAGTAGTGTATTATGTTGTGGATTGTATTGCTTTGTGAGACTAAAAAAAAATGCTTAATTTAAAACATTGATATTGTAAGGTTAGCAGTAAACAATAGTTTTTCTAATATGTAGGTGCAAAAAAGAGAGATCAATAGCATTTGTTTGTTTGCATGATATCGTTTATTTCTTGCAATGTATGGAAGATGTTGTGATGTATACTTGCAATTTGTGGAATACAAAAAAAATGCCTCTATTCCATGCATTGGGTGAAGCACAAACAATGAGCTGCCTTTTACTGAGAACAGCTGCATTTATCATTACCTGGAATATCTATATCAGAGGAGACTATTTGCAATGGCTAGAAGCAATTGGCATTTCTTGGTATCTCAATACACAAACCTAAAGCCAAGACCACAGACATTACTGATATAGATCCACTGAATAACTTTCTTTTTCCTATACAATTATATTATGTTTCTTACCCTTTGCCATTTAGGCATTATGGCCGCATACCAACACGATTGTTGAGTGGCTCTAGTAGACAAATGGACATGATCTGTAACATTTGTTTTTCTTTCTTTTTTGAATATTCAAACGGATACCGTCCCCCAAAACAAAAAAGGTAGTTCAGTAATTATTATTTTCTGAAGTGTGGTCCATTAAGTTGCCATTGTGGAGCCTTCAATCATATCGCTGATGGAGATCGCCACGTCATTGTCATGGAATAGTAGATGTTAACATTTCAAGGACTTCTCCTCGATGTGAGCAATTCTGGCAGCTGCTGATAGAGATCATGCGATATGATGGAAAACTCCAGAGCAGCTTTTATAAATGAACCTGCCGGTGACTTTTCAAATGCTGTTTCCAAGGTTATGAATGAACACAGTTATCTTGTCTCTAACACTGCTCACATTTATTCTTGTTGACCAAAAAATCCGGCACAGTTTATCGCAAAATCCCTCAAATGTTGCATTTACACAAAATGTACAACTAACTGCAGAAGATGCCCCTTTTAAAGATTACTAGATGTTTCAATCCGCCCTTCAACACCAGCATTCAAAGTTGAGATCAGGCCACCCTCTGCAAGCCTAGAGAGGAATAACACTCATTGATAATAAGACAATTTTGTTCTCTGACTATCTAAGAATTTTTGAAAAGCTATTCAATTGAAATGAAATGTCCTACAGTGACAGGATACCATATCAAACCACTCTTTCACTTTGTTTAATTGGGGATTTAGTTGGATTCAGAATTCCTTTGTAACCATTATATTATATTAGGATTATCTCATCTTCTGTGTTCACTGCCAAAAAAGAGATTATTCCAAAAGTAATTATTAGGAATGTGTAAAATGAAAGTGCAACCGAGGATTATATCGATCAAGTGACATTGTTTTATGATGTATTAAAAGGTGTAACCATGTCAAGATATTAAATATTGTTATCGTTCATCAGTTAATCTCAAGTGCAATTTAATTGTGAGAGATATTCATGCAAAGCTGCTTAAACTACAAATGTTGTCATTTTCTACAGATATACACTAGAGCTGTTATCTGGATAATGAAGTGTTATTTGGTGTTATAATGAGCATTTACATTCACCAGATGTGAACCACTTGTGTTTTAGCATGATCCACATTTTACATCACCCACACTTGTTGAACACTCTTTGCTTTTAATCACTACAAAGCTAAGAGGATGATGACTCATGTGACTTGCTGAAATGTATGAGATATAACTTCAATTTGTCTTGGATCCATATCATATACAATGAGTGCCAGTTATGTGAGCTGTCATGAATACGTAAAAGTATAATTAATCTCCTCCAGTGTTGTTGAGAATAATTGAAAGTCTCTGTCTAGTACAGCTTCTGTTCTCCGCAGAGAGCAGCACACTGTGGCTGAACCTGTTAAAACTGACAGGATGTCGCTGACAGGTACATGCTCAGGTATGCACAGAGAAATACTCGTTAGTGACCTTGAGCACATAGCCCATGCTACATCATGTAGCGATGACATTCATCTCAGCAGATCCAGCTCAAGGAAGTCGTATTGCTGCAGTGACACTATTAAACCGAAACCTAGCAGGAGATCGTGTGCCTTTAAATAAATTGTTATCCATGTGGAGAAAAAAATAGGCCAGAACAAAAATAAAAATAAAGAAAATAACAAAATTGCACTGCACAGTATGGATAAGAGGCATCGTTAGGGAGCATGCAACATTCAAACATGCAATTAGCCTTTAGAAATCACACAGCTCATTCAAAAGGCAAAAAAGACCGGTGTTGAATAAAGGCTCCTGTGTGACAGAGGTCATTCATACCGTGAATTTATGTCAACAGCAGAATTTCTTTATGAGTCCCCGCACATCGAGTCAGCCAAATGAAAATCATGAGACATTTATTCAGTCCTTTAGTTTATCAAATGGATATTCAAACAATGATAATAATAATAATGGGTTTAATTTATGAAGCACTTCATATTTGAAGTGAATGAGAGCTCAATCCAAGGGCAAACTCATTATCTAATAAACTTTTAATTTCCTTTGACTCCAGAGATCCAGTCAGTGTTACGCTGACTAATCATTTTTTTATCTGCTGCACAATTGATTGAACCCAAGATTCTTTACTTTTTGGCCCAAGTTAGCAGAATGAGTCAGTTTGCTCAGCAGCTGTTTTCCACACAGTCAAGCTGTGCTAACAGCATAGCAACGTGTCAGGCAGTATACTGCAAAGAAAACATCTGTTTTGGAACATAAGCTATATTTAAGGGCACAAACAGCAAACAACCTGTGCATATTAAACATGATCAAAATAACCCAACCACTGTTAGAACAAGGATTCATTCAATATATAATTAAGTATATAGGATATTTGCACTATTTGTGGCCGTACACCAATATTTCAGTCAGCACCAAGTCTTCTTTGGCATCACACTTTGTTAAAAATGAAAATAACTTTAAAAACACAACTTCATTTGTAAATCACTAGTATAAGAACATGTTTGTATGAATAAAAGGAAAAACAAGATGGAACAGGACATTCTGGAGTCAGTGGTGTCATCTTTGACAGCCGCCTCTCCCAACATCGAGCTGAGGAAGATGTGCAGTTTATAAAGCCTCTGGATCATCACACCGAGGTCCAATACTGAGAGCCTCAGGCACTTTGTGCCCACCGCTGTCAGACTACCAGCAGAGACCACAGACTGTCAGCACTGAACAACAAGGGGAGATGATGTGTTCAGTAGTTTGTGCTTGTGTGTGTGTGTGTGTGTGTGTGTGTGTGTGTGTGTGTGTGTGTGTGTGTGTGTGTGTGTGTGTGTGTGTGTGTGTGTGTGTGTGTGTGTGTGTGTGTGTGTGTGTGTGTGTGTGTGTGTGTGTGTGTGTGTGTGTGTGTGTGTGTGTGTGTCTGTGTCCATATCTGTGTCCATGCCTAATCTTGCGACTTGAACCATCAGTCTTGTTTTTTCAGGGCTCATTTGTGCCCAAGGAACGTTGGTGGTAATGAATAATTTATTGAAACAGTAATTGACTGGTTTATACTGTCATTGACTCATCAACAGTTGCTTCAGTTTGGTCTCTTGTTTACCTTAAGGACTAGGAATTAGTATTCATTCAATGAAACATGACAGCTTTACTAAACTGTACAATATCTACATCTATTACTATACTATGTTACAACATCAACTTCTATTTTAATACGTTTGCACTTTGCATCATTACTTAATTTAAAACGTGTTTTATACTGGTGTTCACTGTAACCATATGCATAAACTCTACTGATACTCTCACTTTAACTTCTTACTTTAACTTGTCAAACTGTAACATTGTCTTTATTTGCTCTTGTATATTTGTTGTATGGATTCAACTCTTAGTTATTTGTATTTGTACTTCTCAGCTGATATTATCTGTACTTATTTCTGTTTGCTGCTGCAACACCTGCATTTCCTCTCTGTGGATCAATAAAGACTTATTTGATCTTATC